CCTTTGTCCATTTTTTATCCAGATTTGGGGGGGGGGGTTGTTAATGAGTTGTAAGTGTTCCCTATATATTTTGGATACTAACCTATTATCAGTTATATGGTTTGTTAATATTTTCTCCCATTTCCCAGGTTGCCTTTCCATTTTGTTCACTGTTTTGTTTGTTGTACAAAACTTTTTAGTTTGATATAATCAAAAGCCAGTTTATGTTAGCATGAAAAAGAAAAGTTTTGAGCATAGTTTAAAGTTCAAAAAGTTTAAGGGATAAAAATGTCATTTGGAAAATAAGATTAAGACCAGCAAAATTAAGTTTTTACAACATGTGGTAAATACATCTGATCCTGCAAAGGGTCTCAATTAAGACAGGTGATGGATAATGTTAATATCCCTAAAAGGAGTTTTCACCTGTTCAAGGAAGTATGCTTCAGAGCCAGGATATCACATGAATAAAGAGGCATTTGAGAAAGTTTATTCTTTCTCCAACAATGGAGATAGGTAGGATATTGAAGGAAAGATTACTGGGAGGTAGAGAGACTTCTAAGGAGGCTGCTTTAGGAGTTTGACAAATAATGGAAGTGTGTTGAAACCTTAACATTTAAAGCTAGAAGGGACCTTGGAGTGCTTCTAGGCCAATTCTCCTCTTCCAGACCGGCAAGGAAAATGGGTTCATTTAAAATGGAATTGACACTGAAACTTGATGTCCAGCAAAAATTAAGTTCTTTATTTTGTCTGAAACCAATCTGTTTCTTGTTTCTCAATCTAATACATAGCAGTTTTAGGTACAGATATACAGATAGAGACATAGAGAGATCTCCATTTCAAATTCATCACTTAACAGTCCCTTAAAGTAATGCTCAGTCTCCCATTTGGATAAAAAACGTCAGTCTCACAAGAGCCTCTTCCTACCCATGTCCCTGTAAAGTCACAACCATTTTACGTGTAATATTTTCCTGGTGCTGGAGTGAAGGAGCCTCCAGCTTCATGCCAGCCCTTGCACTGGCATCTGCTGGTCTCTAAACTGAGGTCCCTTGTCATCATGGTTACTGTTGCCCCACTTGTCTCTGTTGCTGAAATTTATGGGCAGCAAATTTATGATCCATTCCTTTGGCTTGGACTTTGCTCCCAGAAGAAATTGGCATCTTCCTCTTGCCAACTCAGCTTTTCCTCAATTCTTACTCACTTCAGACTTCTGGTTTACCCTGCTGCTCCATCCATTTTCCTTGTCTGATGGCCTTTTCTCATCCCCTCCTGTGGAGTCACCTCACTCTGACTGTCTCTCATGTTAGTGTTCAAACCTCTCCTCTCTCTACATTGATCAGGGTCTCCCCTACTCAACAGCCTCTCTGAGTCCCAGTTAGGGGAACAAGGAACAGCTGCATGCCAATGATATCCCTGTCAACTTCCCAAACTCCTTCAACCTAGGCTAAAGCTAAGAGAGGACAATTAGGGCACATATTTAATTGGCTCCATATTTTCCTTCTTGCTATCCCTTCTGTCCACCAACCCACAGGCCAAAAAGGAGATCAGCTCTTCTCTTATTTCCCTAACTCCTTCTCTACACAGTCTATGTTCTTAACCCTTAAATAGATATAACCCAAAAGTAATGATCTGCTTTCATTCTATGTTGCATAACTGGTGTCTAATAAACTTAAGACTCCCTTTACCAAAATAACTTACTGAAATCTCCTGATACATCCAACACCAAGGGATACAGGAGATCCTGCCCTCCTAGGGATTACAGTTGGTGAATAACACAAGCTCACAAAGCGCTAGTATGCAATATGGTAATTGTACATGTACGCATAAAGCACTGAGGGAGCTCAGCAGGGAGCTAGATCAATCTTTAAAGTTCATTTCTGACTCATTTTGATAGAGTATTTTAAAAATATAATAAAGGAATACAGAATTCACCTGAAACTAACACGTTATATGTCAATTATACCTCAATAATAAAAAAAAAAAATACAGCATTTACTCATTCATCCTGTGCTGTTCTAGGCACTGAGGACACAGAAGTGAGATGGCTCTCCTGGAAGATATCCTAAATTACTTCTGTATCAAATAGAGACAGACCAGGGAGGGAGTGCTCAAGAAAACATCATGAAATGTGTGCGGTGGTCAAAGCAGGCATCATTAAGGAGTGAACTTTGATGAGAACCAAATGATGGGGGAAAACCAGGTATGTGAAGATCTGCCTTTCAGGCAGGAGGAACAGTCAGTGCGATAGTCCTGAAGTGAAAACTAGCTATGAATAAAAAGAGAGCCAACATGCCTAGTGTGCAGTGTGAGAGGAAAAGAGCTGTGGGGGATGAGACTGGGTAAGTGGGCAAGGATCAGACTGAGCATGTACTTCTAGGTCATGATAAATGGTTGGGTTTTGTACTAACTACAATGAAGAAGCACTAGAAGATTTTAAAGTATACATGTGACATTATATAATTTTTGTCTTTAAAAATTCATTGTTGTGTAAAAAATAAATTACAGACATATAGGTTTAAGAAAAAGGAAAATAAACTTAACAACTAGGACTCGAATGCATTCACCAACTAAAACAGAATTATGCTCCTTTTATTTTCAGAACACTAAGTAAGAGTTATGCTGAGCATAGAATAGCACTTGAATTCATCCAGTATATTTTCTCCCTTCCACTTATTCTCTTATTCATTCATTCTGCACACATTCGCTAAGCACCTTTTACATTCTAGGCACTGACACTTATCAGCAGGGCATAAGATTATCCCCAGCGCTTTAATCCTAGGAAATGCTCATGGAAGAACCACCAAAAAATTTCAAAGATCCTATCTCAAGTTACATCAAACAGTGGTAACCTAATATTGCAAATCAGATATCTTCTAGTTCTAATATTCTATAATTCTATGATGGTCCTATAATATTTTGGGGGAGTCTTTTAAAAATTACTGTCCTGGCCGGTGTGGCTCAGTTGGTTGAGTTGTCCCATGCACCAAAGGGTCATGGGTTCAATTCCTAGTCAGGGCACATACCCAAGTTGCCGGTTCAATCCCCATTTGGGGTGAGTGCAGGAGGCAAGAGATCAGTGTTTCTCTCTCACATTGATGTCTCTCTCCCTGTCCCTCTCCCTCCTCCTCCCTCTCTAAACTCAAAGAAAACACATCCTCAAGTGAGGATTTTTAAAAAATTACTTTGGGAAGTAATATGCAGAAAAAAAAACATGGAAACACAAATATGTGGCCACATTTTATTCATCATGCTAAAAACAACTTTTTAATTAAATCATCATGGACAAATATGACAAAGATTCTAGGAATTTTTTCCAAGATCATTTTTACCTTCTCCTTCAGCAAATTTGTCTGCTCTGTTGTGTTCTGAATGCCCAAAGCTATACTGTTAGTCCAATTTTTAGGACAAAATAACTATAAATTTTAAATAGAAAAAAAAGCAATTCAGCTTTATAACCATATGTATGATCTGTCTGAATTTTATAAAAGGGCTGTTACATTATTACTTATTCCTGTTATATTCTCAGGAGAAGAAAATACAATCCGCTAGAGCTCCTAATCCCCATACCTAAACCACATACATATTGAAATCATTAATTGAGGCATTAATGAAAACAAATGCTATTCCAATCTAAACTGAAAATCACTGCAATGGGAAATATTAACTTCTAATAACCTGTCAGCATTCATGAGTCTGAAATAATTCTAAATATATCTGACGTCTGGAAGGAAGACATTATTGCATCAAGAAGCTAGATTCCATCAACACATTTTGTCTCTCATTAAATTTCCTAAAACCTGGAAATACTGTGAAGCATTCTGAACTGTGAAAACACATTAGTCAGTGGAGGCACACTCGTCTATCCTTCTGATGAACAAGATGACTGAGTCCTGGAATACAAACAGGTTCCTATGGGCTTCCTGGATCTCTAGGGCCTGCCCAAAATCTGGCAAGCCAAACCCAAAATACTGCCTAAATAGAGCATAATGTTGTAAAACAGATCCCCAGAGGATGACTGTGTTTAAGTACAGACCCACCACCTTAGCAACATCAGGCCGAAGAGCTCACCAACACAAACCACAATAGCATACACCAAGATGGTTTGGTCCTTCAAGCCAAGATATGCATAGTCATAGCAGCATATACCTATGTGGTTTGTCTTGAGAGTCACCAAAAATGCTGATAAAGACAAAAACAGGTCTAGTAAATAAAATGTTTATTTTTAAAAATAAAGCCAAGATTATTAAAACTACCAAATTTTAGCTAAATTTTTTCAGCAAGAAGAGTAAATATAAACTTGATCGCCCACATCCTAACAAAGAAAAGGCTCCAAAAGAATGGAACAGAAGACAACTTAGAAGTAATGTGAGTCAAGTCAAATTCAGCTGCTGCTGCCTAGCAAGGCATGGCCATAGGGTTGGGATGGAGGAAGGAGTGAAATACAGTTATGAGGTAAGGGCTTCAGACAGAGAAAAGCCAAGCATTAAAAGTTGGGATAAGAAGCTATCCAAATAGACTGATGGTTGCCAGAGGGGAGGGGGCTTGGGGGACTGGGTGAAAAGATGAAGAGAATGAGAAGTACAGATTGGTGGTTACGAAATAGTCATGGGGATGTAAAGTACAGCATAGAAAATATAGTCAATAATATTGTAATAACTATCTATGGTGCCAGGTAGATACTAGAAAAATCAGGAGGAACACTTTGTAAAGTATATGATTGTCTAATCACTATGCTATACACCTGAAACTAATACAAAATAATACTAAATGTAGACTCTAATTTTAAAAAATTAATATTAAATAGAGAAAGAAAGAAAGAAAGAAAGAAAGAAAGAAAGAAGGAAGGAAGGAAGGAAGGAAGGAAGGAAGGAAGGAAGGAAGGAAGGAAGGAAGGAAAGAAAGAAAGAAAGAAAGAAAGAAAGAAAGAAAGAAAGAAAGAAAGAAAGAAAGAAAGAAGTTATCCAAACACAGTGGCTGCCCTGCTTTCCAAAGTCACTAGAAAACGTGGTATAGGCTATACTCACCTACATCCCAAAGTTAGTGAGCTCAACATTCAATTCCCAGCTGCAGCCTTCTCTTTACAGTCTAAGTGAATATAATAAAAGAAAAGATCAAAGGTAAGAATAGGTAGTCAGTATTTAGAAGCCATTCCCAATTTATTTAGCAAATTATGTCATTTACAACAAATTAATAAGGCATCCATCATTTATTTCTGGAATTCATTAAAATTGAACTATTTTCATACTCTGAAACTGTCACCTTGAGATGGGATGATAATTTCTTAAAATAATAAATTTTTCCTTTGGTCAACAGGTTTTAGTTTAAATGTGAGTTTATTAAAGTAGGCTTAAAAGGTATATCATTAGCCTTGGAATTTGGTGGGAGTTATTTTCAAAGATTTTTAAAAACTACTTTTTTTTTTAATGTATCCAAAGCAATGGCACTACTTTGAAAGTAACATATGTTCTAAAACTCAAGTACTCTGGACCTTTGAAGATGGCATTGAGATGTACTCTGAAACAGAGGTAGGATGATAGGCCACCTTCCAATCCAGTTTTCCATGCGCGACATCTGACAGACATGCTACACTGGAACTTCAGGCTAATGTTGGAACTTCACAAGCTCCTAAGCTGTATGGCAGTAAGAATTGTGGAGGACATCTCTGACTTGGAGCTATGGTCACTGACATTTAAGAACTTAAAATAAAAACCCAGCGCTCCCATTAAATAAGAACTGAATTTGCTAGTTCCTTAGACAAATGCTGATTGACCAGGGTCACAAAGAACAGAACCAGGGTGAACAAGGTGATATATAAATAAAATAGCAATCTAAAATCTCAGAAGAAGTGATGTGCTAAGTGTAATTTACTCTAGATTCCCTTTTAGGAAGAGAAACTAATTATCAGACACATTAAATAGACTATTCTCAAAGGCCATTCACCAAATTTCTCACTTTAGTATAAGGAACAGGATTGTTTGTTCTGAGAAGATAGATTTAAAAGGCCTTCTTAGGTATACTACTCATTAAGTCTTCTTTCTTATTTCTGAAATATAAAAAGAAAAATATTAAAATTTTCTTTTAAAATGATTTACATCATATTAGCTCACTCTACATGATAAAATTGCTTAATTTGTTGTTGTTGATGCTGTTGCAAATTGGTCACTAGTTCTTTCCATTTAAATGAATACATTTTCCTTACATTACTTGTGCATCTCAATATTACTGTTTGACATAATATTGAAATGGTGTTCCCATTAAGTAACTAGTCTAGGTAAGTTATTAATGTTCAGCTGAGATATTAGTTTATCATTTATTAATATATTTTTGCCATGTTAACACATGATAATATCCTTTATTCCCATTATTTTAAAAGTAAAATAATTGAGCAAATTTAATATTAAAATATATACATCCATTTTTATTTGCATGCATCAAGTTATAAAATATATGAAAAGTTTAGATACGAAGCTTAATTCAACCACACAAAATTCCATATAAACCTGGAAAGAAAAATTAAAGGATATTAAAAACTGCCAAAACAGTCCTAATTACGGGTATCTCTCACTAGAGCTTGGATTCAATGAGAACTAGGAATACATGTACAACATTCAGGAAATACTTCCTCAAAAAATGTCATATTACTTGAACTTGTCCTCCTGTACTCTTGGTTGTCTCAAATATTCATAATCATTTCATACTCTTTCATTTTTTGAAATCTTCAAATACCTTGTACCAAAAAAATATAAAAAGTAGTTGACTCCAGCTATGACTTCATTCCATATGTCTAAAGGTGCTATGATTTTCCAGTCTTGGGTCTGGCAAAATATATGTATATTCTTTAGTTCAATATTTTTGAAAAACAACTTTAAAATGAAAGAAAACTAATAACTAAATAGGATTAGACCATGTCCCATTCTACAGTAGCTGGAAATTTTTGTATTTTGAAGGTTTATACACATTCTCATTACTTCACTTTTTAAGATTTTTATCAGCTTAAATACTGGCTAGAACTACAGAGACCTGTCTTTCTACAGTCTAACTAACACCTGCTTAAATTTTACAAAACTTTCATTTCTACCCAGAGAGAGAATATGAGTCATTGTCGAAGCGGTATCTGTATAATGTCTAACGGTTGCTGGGATAGGTTTGTGGTTAGAGGAATGCTACTTAAAGCAGAGAGATTTAAAGTTGGATTCTCCTGAACAACAACGACACAAATAAACTGTTTTTTAATCAAGAAAAAACATTAGCCTCAGAAGGAAAGGGGGTTGGAGACGAAAACAGATAAACCAAACAACTTATATGCACATATACATAATCAATGGACATATACATAATCAGTGCAGTGAAGGTGGTGGGAGGTGCGGGGAGGAGGGTGTCAATGGGAAAAAAAAAGAGGAACATCTGTAATACTTTCAACAATAAGGATAAAACACACAATCACACAGGATATCCATTTCTAATTAAATTGCCTTTTAACAAGTTTATTATCACAGAACATTTTTTATAGAACATTTCAATCAAAAATCTTTGTTGTCCAGCCGGTGTGGCTCAGTGGTTTAGCATTGACCCATGCACCAAGAGGCCGCCAATTCAATTCCCTGTCAGAACACATGCACAGGTTGTGGGCCTGATCAGCAGTGGGGGCATGCAGGAGACAGCCAAACAATGTTCTCTCTCACTGATGTTTCTGTCTCTCCCTTCCTCTCTCCATGGTTAAATAAAGGAAAGAAAAAAATTTTTCTGTTGTCCCAGGGTTCTTCTGACAACTTTTAAAACTGCTATTAAAACTTATTCAACATTTGTGATCCTGTAGAAAGTATTTTTTGGACTAATAATTTGTGGCATCATATAAAATTCTTAATTTCCCTTCAAATAGTTTAATTCTTTCTAGAGTATTTGCAACCACTTCATAGAGTGATTAAAGAAAAATATATAACCAATGTATTTCAGAGTTCCAAATGCTAATATTAAAAAGTTTAATAAATTAATGACTAAAGAAGTAAAATAAGTGCAAAGTAACAGAAAGAAAATCCATTATTAATAATATGTTGGAAATTGCCAATTTTAATTTCAATTTCATTTTAATGTTTATGCTACACTTTTAAGAACATGGAATTAATACTTTTAAAGATATATTTCTTCTAATGTATTGTATTTGGGAGTAACAACATATTTCACATGTAAAACAAAGAGGTGATAGATTTCATCTCTGGGATAACATCATCTCAGTTACTACTAAAATTTTACTATGTTCAGAAACTTTCAAGACCATCAAAAAGCTTGCATTGCTAAAATCTAAAAAATTAGTTTTAGTGCACATTCCCTGCCACAAATTAAAATCTTATCCTTGCACTTCTCTTTAGTCTAAAATCAAGTTCTTCATCAACAAATCATCAAACAACAAGTGTTGGCGAGGGTGTGGAGAAAAGGGGACTCTAGTACAGTGCTGGTGGGAATGCAGACTGGTGCAGCCACTGTAGAAAACACTATGTTGTTACCTCAAAAAGTTAAAAATTGAACTTCCATTTGACCCAGTGATCCCACTTCTAGGATATACCCTAAGAAACCTGAAACACCAATCAGAAAGAAGATATGTAACCCCATGTTCATAGCAGCACTATTTACAATAGCTAAGATCTGGAAACAACCCAAGTGTCCATCAGTAGATGAGTGGATTAAAAAGCTGTGGTACATGTACACAATAGAATACTATGCAGCTGTAAGAAAGAAAGATCTCTTATTCTTTGAGATGGTATGAAGGGACCTGGAGAGTATTATGCTAAGCGAAACAAGCCTAACAGAGAAAGACAAATATCACATGATCTCACTTATTTGTGGAATATAATGAACTAAACAAACTGCTGAACAAAATTAACCCAGAGACATGGAGGTGGGGTACAGGCTGACAAGCCTCAGAGGAGAGGGAGTTTGTGGGGGAAGAGATAAACCACAGAACTTACATGCATGTATGCGTGACCAATGAACATAGACAACAAAGCTGGAGATGGAGCAGGGGGTAAGGGGAGGAGGGTGTCAATGGGGGAAAAATGAGAACCATCTGTAACAAAAACAAATTAATAAATAAAAAATTTAAAAATAAAATACAATCAAGTTCTTCCCCCTGCTAAGCTCCACCAGAAAATGCACTCCTTGGTATCTTGTAAGAAAATTTCTACATGGAAAAAGTTCTCTGACTAAACATGATTGACCCAGCACTGACCTCTAGCCATGAGGCAAGAAAAATTGGTTGAAATTTGGCTTAGACTGGATTACTTAACATATTAAAAGACTCTTGCCAGGCCGCTGTGGCTCAGTGGATTGAGCTTCCTCCCAAGGACTGAGAGGTCCTGGTTTGATTCACTGTCAGGGCTCATGCCAGGACTGCAGGTTCAATCCCCAGTAGGGGGCGTGCAGGAGGCAGCCCTTTGATGTTTCTCTGTCACATGGATGTTTCTCTCTTTCTCTCCCTTCCTCTCTCTCTCTAAAAAATCAATAAAAACACATTTAAAATAAATAAAAGACTCTTGTGCATGATGTTATTCAAATACAAGATACCAATGAAGCTATTAATTTGTTACTACAGTTTCTAAGGTGTGGGAAGTTCACCAATGATGATGCAAGATGGTAACATTGTTCATAGTCCATAGACAAATCACCACAAAATTGAGAAAGATGGAGCTGTAATTTACAGGGGTTGAAGATATTGAAAGGATCACTTCCTATAAACTCAGAATTGTAGTAATTGACTTGCCTGTTTCAACCCAGATATTTATTGAATATGAATGAATTTGTATTGTCTGTGCTGGCCACGTTCTTCCCAAGCAGAAAATGCAGTGAAAAATTTGTTAAGTAGGTGTTTTAAGATTTAAAACTAAATTTCCCCAAAATGACTATTGTTTTTCAACCATTTTTAAGATTATTTTCTTCAAGTAACTGTTCAAACTCCATCTCTGTAAAAGTTTTCTTATAAAGTGTGATTTAGTGAAGAAGGTAAACAGTTGTAGGAAGTGCATGATAAGAAGAAACAGCAAAGTTTTTAAATCCTTTGCCTTGAACCTGGAAAGTGTAAGAATAAGGAGGGG